TTAATTATACAAAGTATTTATCTCGAACACACTGCCAAAGTGAGAGCTCTTGAACACATACACACTCTACAGACTGATGATAATATCACACAGACCATTTACACTGATGGATCTCTTAACACCGCCTGTGGGAGGGGTGGAAGTGCTATTGTTGTGACTCAACCTGACGGTAATATAATTGAGAAAGGAGTTAGAATTAACAACCGGGCATCCACTCTACAAACTGAATTAGTTGCCATACTCAACTATTAAATTCATTGAAACCACTGTTACTGACAGTCTCATCATCACTGACTATCCTCACTACTTACCCTTGGTACCCTCAACTCAAGTTGTCACGCACTTGTCTCTAAAGCCAGACACAAATATGCGTGCCTTGTTGACCGGGGTGTCAAGGTCAAACTGTTGTGGATCCCCTCTCACATAGGCCTCATAAAACATGACAGAGTTGATGCCCTCGCCAAACTCGCGTCTAACAGACACCGTTGAATACAATTTGGGTCTGTCAAAAAGAACCCTTAAAATTGTAATTAGAGAAGAACCTATTGATGAATTTGACGCAAGTAGACAAGTGCAGACAGGCACTAGTCGCTCCATAGTTTACCATGATAAGTGTATCAAATGAAACGTGTATATGGAGCAAGTAACAAGATCACTAGATTACAAGATGTTGTAACCGCTAGATTAAGGTTAGGATACAAGTACCTCTAGCAGTATGTTCCTCAAGCAGATGTAAACAAGGCTAAATATAAAGTGTGTGGCCGGACATATAGCCACACACTTGAACACTACGTCCTCGACTGTGTGAAGATAGAACCTTTTAGGGACAGGTCCAAGCACACTGTGTGTGAAATGGCACAACACTTAAACTTTAATGGCAAGATAGCTGACATCTTAAGATTGTTTCCACTTTTTACACTTATTATCTATATCAGTTCTCATGTATAGAACCAAATACACAATGTGCTTGAATACTTCTCACGCAAATGTGAATAACAAAGTGTGCGGCCAGACATACTGCCTCACACGCCTGTACTCACGCAGTTGTGAATAAGTTACCCTTTATATATAGAACTAAACAAATAATGTAATTGAAATACTGTGTAACATTCAATGCCATAATATCCTGACAACGGGGGTTAATTCTTATGACGCGTTGTAAACTCTACTCTGTAATCCTTTTGCGCTACCGCTCACAGGATGAGTGTGGGGTGCACAATAAAGTGGCCGCTGTAAGGGGGCAAAATAAAAAACCAATCCATTATTTCGAACTCATTGGGATGTTTCAAATATTGGTTAGATGGATATACGAGTAATAAACCTTGGCCGTAAACAGGGCTGCCTAGTGTGAGCTAATAGACCCAGTGTAGTTTCCTTCATTCTTATGTTGTGTTTTTATGCGTGAGCTTATGCCTATGAGAAGCATAAACGTACGCATCTGTGTGTGTGTGTGTATGTATGTACAGTATGTGTGTGTGTGTGTACGTGTACAATGGCACACAAATCAGGTTATAGAGCGCACGGGAAGAAGGTTACAAGTCACACTCGCCTCGACCTGTTCTTCAGTCCCGAGTAAACAGAAGGTGGCAAGTCGTGTGTTATCGCACTGAAGTATGAATGTCCTTCGTAATTTAGGTGATGTTATATTTAAATCAATGCCGGATGTTTTTCTAATAATATATAGATAATTGGTACAGACGTCTCTCACCAGTAGTACTAGATAATGGCCGATCCCTCCCTTCACCACTATACCCTCCCTCCCTCCCTTCACCACTATACCCTCCCTCACTTACCAGCACTACCCTCACTCCCTCCCTTACAACCACTATACCCTCCCTCCCTCCTCACCACTATACCCTCCCTCACTTACCAGCACTACCCTCCTCCCTCCTTACCCACTATACCCTCCCTCCTCCACCACTATACCCTCCTCCTCCCTCCCCACCACTATACTCCCTCCCTCCCTCCTCCACCACTATACCCTCCCTCCTCCCCTCCACCACTATACCCTCCCTCCCCTTACCCTCCCCTCCTCCAGCACTATACCCACCCTTCCTTACAACCACTATACCCTCCCTCCACCACTATACCCACCCTCCCTTACAACCACTATACCCTCCCTCCTCCTCCACCACCACTATACCCTCCCTCCCTCCACCACTATACCCTCCCTCCTCCACCACTATCCTCCCCTCCCTCCACCACTATACCCTCCTCCCTTACCAGCACTATACCCTCCCTCCCTCCCTTACCACCACTATACCCTCCCTCCCTTACCACCACTATACCCTCCCCTTACCACCACTATACCCTCCCTCCTTACCACCACTATACCCTCCCCTCCTCCTACCCTCCCTACCACTATACCCTCCCCCCTTACCACCTATACCCCCCTCCTTACCACCACTATACCCTCCCTCCCACCACCACCACCACTATACCTCCTCCTCCACCACTATACCTCCCCTCACCACCACTATACCCTCCCTCCTTACCAGCACTATACCCCTCCTTACCAGCACTATACCCTCCCTCGACCACTATACCCTCCCTCCCTTACCAGCACTATACCCTCCCTCCTTCCCTCCTTACCACCACTACCCTCCTCCCTCCCTTACCACCACTATACCCACCCTCCTTACCACCACTATGCCCTCCCTCCCTCCACCACTATACCCTCCTCCTTTATCACCACTGTACCCTCCCTCCTTACCACCACTATACCCTCCTCCTTTATCACCACTGTACCCTCCTCCCTTACCACCACTATACCCTCCCTCCCTTACCACCACTATACCCTCCCTCCCTTACCACCACTATACCCTCCCTCCCTTACCACCACTGTACCCTCCCTCCCTTACCACCACTATACCCTCCCTCCTTTATCACCACTATACCCCCCCTCCCCAATGTTTATCTCCGACAGTATGCAGTATATCTAGTACACGGAAGACAGAGCTGAGCCGAGCCGAACTGGACCTAACCAGAAGTATTTGTTCACACACTACTAGTCAAGTCAACTTGGAGCTCCCGGAAACAGTATTGTACGAGTCTCCTCACTTAATGTTTCCTCGGGCGTTTATAGAAAACTTTATATTCTAGGACATAACTTTTTGACTCCATACAATAAACAAACTTATTTACATAGAACATTCTCTTTGAGTGTCTAAAATTCATACAAACACCTCCCCAATAATACACATACAGCCAAGAGATAGCAGGGGTTTATCTCAACAGGTGTACAGTAGCTGACAGGACCATTGTCACGCGCACACACTTACCACTGTTCTCTCTCCCTTCCCTCACATCACTGTCAAAACTTGTGCCCGCGAGGCATTTCCAGGACACAGATCCGCAGAACAAATGCTTTCCCGAATTCAGGACATTGACATAGTCTAAATATGGTAGCCTCTTATGTGCTCATTATTGCAGTAACAAAAGTGGCAGTTTGTCCCAAGGTTTGGTTACAAAAATACAATTCCATTAAGTAATCTTATCACACCTTGGGTAAGAAGGTCACCTGTATGACAAGTACTGAAATCTTTACTGGTATTAATGATTTTTAAGAATCGTTTTCACTCTGAACTTGGTATTCAATTTCAGAATCAGATAATTCCCAAATACATTACATGTCCCAGGAGTGTTCTTATTAATAAACGATATGATAATTTTCACGCTGCCATAATTTGTTACTCGCCAGGTAACTGTTTAACCTGGGTTGTGTTTACCAATAAGTTTATTTATTGTGAGTCATGTTTACCAAGGTTATGTTCAGAGTTGTCCACCACGAGTTCTCGCATAATGAATACTATCAAGATTTCTGTTTACAAAGGCAAACGGGTTTGTTTGTTTCCTGACAGGTGTTTACATTACTGTAGTGCCAGAGGTAGACGGGGCCACCACGAGGCTGTGACGTAAAAACGAAAGTGACAGCACCTGCAGCGTCACTGGGCCAGAGTTCTCAATGGTTGGTGTGATGAAGTTTTCTTGCAAGTGCGGATCTAAGACCGCACATAATTAATTAGCTCAAACTGTAGCATAAAGAGACATCCAAAATGGCCTTCTCATTATACGATAATTCTACACTGACTAAACATTATGATTTTATAGGGGCAGGGAGCTACCTGAATCTGGTTCCTTGGCTCAATTACTCTCGCTTTACTTTTCCCTTAACTGATGATGATTGTATTTAATTGCCTCAAAGTTGCAACAGAAATGGGCTTCAGAAGTGGTCAGACCAGACGTGTTCTCTCATCCCGTTGTATAGTGGAGATTGAGAATGTATTGTGATTTGATACTCCAGACCCTGTTCTTGCTGATCAGTCATTCACACAGTCATAAGAACATACGAATGGAGGAAACTGCAGCGGGCCTATTGGCCCATACTGGGCAGTCCCGTTTACACCCAACCTGTGTTTGAAGCTATTCAGCGTATTCGAGTTAATGATGATATTTGGTAACTTGTTCCACTCATCCACTACTGTTTCCAAACCAGTGTTTACCTACTTCACGCCCAAATCTAAATTTGTCTAATTTAAAACCATTGTTACGAGTTCGCTCCTGGTTGGATAGTTTGAGTACCTTTGTAATGTCCCCTTTGTTTAGCCCTGCCTTCCACTTATACACCTCTATCAGGTCGCCCCTCGCTCTACGTCTCTCGAGGGAGTGCAAATTAAGATGCTAAAAAATACCTCTGGCACAAATGATCCACACTAGTGAAATGATCGAAGGCTCAGTTCAGTCGAGATAAGTCGTAACTCGTGTCTCCAAACGGCCATCAATCAAGTCCGTCGTTACACTACCAATACCCATTCATTCATAAATAGTAATAATAATACTGCGACGCTGCCGTTTGGAGGCACGGGTTACCACAGCGGGTACCACAAGAACTACCCTACCGGTGTATTAAACTGATCAAAAATAAAACGAGGACGTAACTTGTTTTTTCTAAGGTTAAAAAAGTCATCATTATTATAAGAGACTGTTTGAGATCATCCTACCTTTATGAGGACACTCCATGACGGCTGCTGCTATTGCGTGGGTCTACTGTACACCGCCACGAGCCAGCGACGCATTCACCACCAACCTCCGCCGACCACTGCCACCACCTGACTGTGAGTTGACTCCGTTACCCCGTTATCCTGAACAGCCCTGAGCCTCCACCTCACACGCCGCTGTTCACTTGTTTAAGGCGACTTTAACATATTTGCCTGATTGTTTACTTTCGTTCTTTTTAGTTACAAAGACTTTTGGTTGAAGCAAGTCTAATTAGGGAAATGAATTCTATAAACCTTAGTGATGGTCAGTATAAAACTGATGTTACATAAATTTATTTGCCAGTGGCCCAAGGAAGATAGATGATTAGTGGGTCTCGTGTTTTTGACCTGACTTTACCTAAGCTATTGTTACGTCGCCCATTTTTCATAAGCTCTTCTTTCGTTTGTGGTGGGGGTGGTGGATGGATTTGTGTATCCCATGGTTTTGACCTGACCTAATATGTAAGGTCCCTGTTGAAGCCCAGTACTGAACTGTTCTCGACTCTACTGCTTGAGCTGATAGTCTGTTCCATAGAACTTAAGCTCTCTGCGGAATGTAGGAAAAATTGGCACAGGAAGAAAGGGCACGGAAAAATGGCAAGAGGAAAATAAGGCACAGGAAAAATGGCATAATCATCAGACTAGGAAAAAATTGCACATTAATTTTTATTTTTATTTTTTTGCTAAATTTTTTTAACGTTCGTTACTGAAACTTACTTAGTTATATCAACGTCATAACGTAAAACATGACCTCACGTGAGGTGACCTAGCACAATGTACCCACAGCGGAAGAACTCACTTTAAACTGCTAGGGGAACATGTGAGCACGGGGTTGGAGGAGACTGCAGTGGGAGCGGGTAAACAAAGTGACAGGTTACAGGGAAATAGTGTTAGGAATGATGACGAAACTAAATTAGACGGAGTTAAAACCTAAACGCGACAAAGATAGGACTCGGAACACGACAACTTTAATGTCTACTACGCAAACAAAACGGACTAAATTAGGGCCTTGGTATGTACCGAAAAAATAGATACACTAGCATTCACCGAAACCTGGATCAACCTAGACTCACGTGAGTTACCGGTCGAATACCAAATTGCAGGTTACAAATTATTC